TCTCATGGAGCATACATTCTCCTATTATATTCTTATATATTTTTATTATATTGCTGCATTTGCTGCTTAAAGTGCCTAGATTTTGTTAGTTATTTATCTACTTTATATTTCACTTGTATTTTTGTGGCATTCATGTGGACGGCAAAGTAAGAATTTCATTGTAAGGGAAACATTTCCCAACTGTGCATATGACAAATAAACACTTTGACCTTGAGTTTTCTTTTGGCTGTGGGAGGAAGCCGGGGTACCCAAGGGAAACCCACAGAGGCACATGAAGAGCATGCACACTCAGAGCAGCAGTCAGAAATATCCTGATCAGCCACAAGGTTCAGACCAAGAACCTTCTGATTGTGAGGCAACAGTGCTAACCACTGCACCACCCCTATGCTATTTCATTAACTGTAAAAAGAATTTCAGAAGCATCCGCTTTATTGGGCAGATGTGACGGACACATGAGGAATTTGACTCTGGTACATCGGCGCTCAATGTGCAAACAGTAAACCAACATAAGGCTGTGTAATATAACAAAATAAGCAGTATTAACAGCAACATTGACAGCAGCAAACAGTACAAACAATGCAGAATAAGCAGTATAAACAGACAGTAAACAAAGCAGACAAAGAAATGCTCATTGAAATGAGATAAATAGGGATAAAAACAGAGTACTTAAAAACTAGAGACCTGTACGAGTCTGTATAATCTGTACAATATATATACACAGGTATTGCACTGAGGGTTATTGTCCAATCATACTGTTGTTGGTTAAGTGTTCATCAGAGTGATGGCCTGGGGGTAGAAACTGTCCCTCTGCCTGGTTGTCTTGGTGCACAATGACCTGTAATGCCGTCCAGAGGGGAGGAGTTCAAACAGATTGTGTCCAGGGTTTGAGGGGTCTGCAGTAATCCTCTCCACCCTCCTTTTGACCCATGAGGTGCACAGGTCCTCCATGGAGGGCAGGCTTGCACCAATGACCTCTTCTGCAGTCCTGACTGTCCACTGAAGTCTCTACAAGTCCTGTTTGGTTGCTGAGCCTAACCAGACAATGATGGAGGTGTAGAGACCAGACTCAGTGATTCCTCTGTAGAACTGTATCAGCAGCTCCTGGGGCAGGTCGAACTTCCTGAGCTGGCGCAGGAAGTACATCCTCTGCTGTGCAATCTTGATGATGGTCCTGATGTTGCACGTCCACTTCAGGTCCTGGGAGATATGACCAGGTCCAGGAACTTGTAGGACTTTACTGCTAATACAGTGCTGCCGAGTATGGTAAGTGGAGGTAAGGTGGGGGCTCTTCCTGAAGTCCACTGTCATCTACACTGTTATGAGTGTGTTCAGTTCCGGGTTGTTGCGACTACACACCATAGGACTAGCTACTCAACTGTAGGCTGTAGGCAGACTTGTCACCGTCTTCAATGAGTCCATTGACCGTTGTATCATCAGCACACTTTAGGAGCTTGGTACTTTAGGGGTACTTCGAGATGCAGTTGTTGGTGTAGAGTGAAAACAGCAGAGGGGAGAGCACACATACCTGAGGGGCACCTGTGCTTATTGTCCGGGTGCTGGATGTGGTTTTACCCAGCCTCACCTGCTGCTTCCTGTCTGTCAGAAAGCTAGTAATCCACTGACAGGTGGGGGCAGGCTCAGTGAGCTTATTCAAACTTATTGAACAAATATGTGGTGGTGAAAAAGGTAGCTAGGTCAGTTAGCTTGCTAAAGTAAAGCAAGTTTTGCTAGTGTTTATTCCGTCCTATGGCATCCCCTGCTGATGCATTGATGAATTACACACAGTAAATAAGTTTCTCTTTCAGTGAAATTTAATGAAATCGTACTGAGGACAGCACAAATAGGCTATTCTGAAGTCATAAGAGTAATACTTCCAAATAAGCCAACATGTTTGAATAACATTTAGAAGTTAACGTTATTAAGAAAACACATTTAGATTGTGGATGCTTCACTTTGCCTTCGTAATACCAATATACTTGTTTAAGGTCATCCAAAGGCAGAGCGCAGTGTCTGCATGTTTGAGGTAATAAGTCAGATCAGTGGTCATGGTTTTTATACATGAAACTGTTTTTCTAAAAAGAAATTACATGCATTATCACTAGTCTATCTACAACATATTTGACTGGACAGTCCAAAAACTTTAAAAAGACATTTTTCTCAGTTTCACTGTTTGTGTATATACTGCACTTTGCCTTTGTAGAGCAGTATAGTCAAGACACTGTTATGGCTGCGGATTAGTGCACTCCCAGCACCTCGTCCGCCAGCCCTGGGACCACCAACAACCCCGCCCCGGCAGGTGCTGGAGTACACTCCTGGCAGCGAAGCACACATGATCAGCAGAGCATTACTTAAGGAGAGCATTAGTGTGTTCTCATCGCCAGATGATCTCTTGATGACCAGTAAGTATTCTGTAAGCTTCTGACTAAGCTGTTTCTTTTATTGCCTTATTGATCCCAGTATTGTTTTGTGCATTTTTTCTTAACTATGAGCTGAACCAAACTGTGAACTGAACTATTTGCTTTCTAGAGTACAACTTCCGTGGCTAGCCAGGCGCACCTCCCACATTGGCAGAGACTTGGAATGCGGCCAAACCATTCTGTGGACCATGGCTTCCATTGCCAGCAGATTCACGCACCAGCCAGCAGGCACCTCAACACCTCCTGCCTCCCTGCACAACACTCATTCATCATAACCCAAGTTCTCGTCATTACTACCCACAGAGTCACTGCTGATCTGCTCAGTCTTCTCACTCTCTTCTTCTGCTTTCAATTTAGTGGTTGCCTCTACTCCCCTGGTTGCTCATCTAGTGGTCCAGTCAACACAGCTTCCAGTCCCCCGTGACCAGCTGAAACATCCACACTACATCTTATAATTTTCTGTTACCACTACTGATTAATAACCGTTTTTATCTTGAGCCTCTGTCCAAGTCCTGCATTTACTGGGTCCTCGCTTGTGACTTCTGATAGCTAGCCATAACAGACACCCAGCCTGGCACTTAAATAATCAAAAAATGTTATATTAGTGTAAACATTTCATCATTATATTTCACATAAAGACAAAACACTAACTCTAATTTATCACTGGCCCCTAAAACTGAGGCTTGCTGTTAACATTGATGTTGCTTTGTATTTGGTGGCACTATAAATGGTACCTAGCATCAGATTTACTCATTAATAAAGTTTCTACAGGGTTAAGACATTTCTTCAGTTTTAATCTTGCCACCCAGTTTTGTAAATGATTAGTTTGAAACTAGCTAGTACTTACAAAGACTTTAGACTTTACACACAAACTTAGAAATGGATTTACAAATAGATATTTCAACCTGTCAACAGGGAGAATGTCTCCTGTGCAGCTCCAACACATACAATAGTGTAATTACACAAAGAATATGATGCTTGTATACTGTATGAATGAATATCCAATTCCTGCCTAATAAGAAGAAGCTTGGATATAATAATCTGCAAACTGATTATATAAAATGGCATTGCTTATAAACCTCAGAGGCTAGTAGCAATTTATTAGCTAATACATTCCAGGCTTGAAGCAATAAATGCAAAAATACAATAAAAACCCTGCTAAGTATATTTTATATTTTATTCCAAAACCTTCAAAATAAGTTTCAAGTTCAAGAAAGTAGAATAAGCTTAGACACAATGCAAAGCATCATATACAGATGGATAAAATACATTTTTTATATTGCAGACAAGCCATGGTGGGGTGGGTCTTACATATGTACAGTATGTATGTAAACTTTTATTTACAATCTTTTTTACATATACAAAAAGCCTTGTTTCTATTTTCCTTTGTTTACATAAATAAATTCATTTTTCTTTTTATATTACAAATGTATTTTCATTAAAATATATCTCTATACAAAAAAGTTTTTTATTTAACATTCTCTTTTCTTAGAGACACTTTCCCTCAGTAGTTACACAGTTTGCTCACAGGCTGCGTTTGTCCATTTTTTTACAGGTAACCCTTTTGGTGTACAGCAAGACACTGATGTTGGAGCTTTGCCTTTTACTGTTTTGTTGAGGTTTTTAAGGGCCATGTTGATTTCGGTTAGGTGCTATGGGTTGGTATGGATGGAATTTTAGTCTCATGTGGATGTAAGTTGAGAGATTTACTGGACTGATGTAAAACAATATAAAACAAAAACAAAAAAGCACGAGACCTTTTAATAACTATATTGCCATGAAAACCATATAGGAATGTAAAGTCTGGTAGTAAAAAAATCAATATTTTAGTATATCATAACTATAAATAAATATGACATTCATTTTTTCCACGCTGCACACAAACAAGAAGAGTAGCTGTGGGATTACAGATATCAAATATAGTACAGATAGGTGGGTAAATTTGGATGCACTCAGTAAAATGAAATACATTCAGTAGTTTTTCAGCAATAACTCCAGTGATGTGATCTGATCACAAATGGAATTACCAGTCAACTCTTATCTCCATTTACAGAATAAAGTTCATCTATGCTCCACAGCTTTACAAAATACATCTTTCCCTCTCCTGCAAGTTACAGTCCACTGAACATGCGGAAATGGGCTGAAAAGTGAACCGAAATTGCATGAAAAACACAACATTAAGTGTTGCTTTGTCATAGCAGTCAATATTTGGTGACAACGCAAGATTAGCGATTATGAATGACAGCTGATTAAGAATGTCATGCATCATGAATGAAGGCTTTCTCTGGGTTTCAATACTGTGGAGCCTGTGCTGGAAAGTAGCAGCCCTAGCTGTAGAAAGAAATGGTAAGCTTCTTGTCTCTTGTCTAACTGCGAGAAAACCCAGTGAACTCAAAGACCACAGCTGTGGTGGGTTTCTTTATAGAAGAGATGGTGAGCAGGAGAGAAGTTAGAGCTGTGTCTGGCTGATAATGACAATGAACCTGGGTTGAACAGAGTTTGTCTTAAAATATGCAAAGAGAACCAGAAAGTGGCCAAATAAAGAAAGGCTCTCTTCTTTTAGAGCATGACTCCATTCAGAACTCGCTGATCTTCATTTTCATATAACCATTACTGAACTTTCTTTGAGAAGTTTCTGGACTAATGCAGATGGGTTAAAAAGAAATTTCCATAGATGTAACTCTAATGACATAAAAACTGCAAAATTACTAGTGTGAATTTTTGAAAAGGTCTTGCTCCCCATTAAAAACTTTTCTTACTAATGGAACTAAATGAAGCATCATCAAGAACTGAATAGTTAATCTATAGTAAATCTGGTAATTTTGCCTAATTCTAATTTGGTTGAATTTGGATGACTTTCTTTGGTGTAAAATGTTGACTTTTTAAAATCTCAAAAACACACAGCACACACAGCCAAGGGTGTCAGCAAGCACATAAAATTCTAAACATTAAGCCTCACACACCAAAATACAGTACTAATGAGTACACAGCTCATTTAGGAAGAGCAAAAAAACCCAACAACAAAAAGGCCAAAAATAGATGGTTACTCTGACATGGTCCTAACAAGCTCAGTGTTTTCATTTTTTTTCTTAGTAAATAAATTAAATTATGCTTGGAATTATTAAACACAAAATAGAGCCACTTGCGCTGCTTTATCATATCATTGGGTTGTACCAAGGCACAATGAATGTAAAGTGCTTATTCAAGACCGATGAAGGTTCAAAAACATGGATAAACTATGAGTCTAGCCCTGTAAAACCATTTCTGAATTTCATGAGACTGAGCCCTTGTTGATGGAAAAACAATCGTGTGTGAGCTTATGTTTGTCCAAATCTCCACTCAGAATCTCATTAACAGAAGCAGTTCCATCTAGGGAATAATGGCATCTTGTCCTATTGCATTAGCTAATCATATTTGTTTAATACTCAGGGCAGCTTAATAAAGCGTTGTGTAATGTTTGCTAAATGTTGCCATGGGAGAAATGAATGGAGGCAAAAAAGCCACTTCAAGGGACCTAACCAGAAAGTATCAGGAATGTAATGAAGCTATTCACTCTGCTGAAATACTTCAAAATAAAAATAAATTAAATGCACAATGCAACAATCGCAAAAATCTACGAGAACTCAGTGCCAGTGCATTCAAGATGATGTAAGCGCAAACTGTTCCTCTCCCCATGAAATCTCCTGGGTAATTCAATTGTTTCCTTTTCCATCAGTTCACAACCAGAGCAGGCAAGGGGCAATATTCTATCTGTACTGTCAAGATAAGCGAGAGCTTTAAAAGCAATTACCGATGCAGAGTGAAACTGACTGAAGAAACAATGCAGTGATTGGTTTAAAAAGCATGAATTTCTGAGGCAAATTATGAGCTGTAGGTGAGACTTCATTAAAAAAAATCTGTTGGTATGGAGGTTGAGGAGGTGAAACTCAATTTGTTACACACACACACACACACACACGCAAACATTAGGAATGTGACAATACACATGAGACGACACTATACACAATATAGGGTTCATGAGAGCGAGATAAGACAATATTTTAAAACTATTTTAAAAAAATTTTCAGTGACAAAATATATGACGGGATAAATAGCGGTTTATTCGACTGAAAGTCTCAAAATGCAAAACACTGCAGATGCAAATGTTTTGACTAATCATTTTTTAATGAATGTCCTCTACCAGAGGCCTGGGAGCTTGAGGATCCTGCGCAGTATCTTAGCTGTTCCTAGGACTGCACTCTTCTGGACAGAGATCTCAGATGTTGTTCCTGGGATCTGTTGGAGCCACTCTCCCAGGTTGGGGGTCACAGCCCCAAATGTTTCTATTACCACTGGGACCACTTGTGCCTTCACCTTCCACATCTTTTCTAGCTCTTCTTTCAGCCCTTGGTATTACTTGAGCTTCTCATGTTCCTTCTTCCTGGTGTTGCTATCGCTTGGGATTGCTACATCTATCACTATGACCTTGTTCTTCTGTTTGTCCACAACTACTATGTCTGGTTGGTTGGCCATTACCAGTTTGTCAGTTTGTATCTGGAAGTCCCACAGGATCTTAGCTTGTTCTCCTCAACCACCTTTGGAGGTGTATCCCATTTTGAGGTGTTAATTAACCGGGCCTTTGGTCGTTCCATTCAGCTGACTTGCCTTACTCTCTGCAGGTACTTGGTGGTTGCTCCTTTCCTTACGGCCTCTTCATGGTTTCCTATTTGCCTACGGGATCCCAAGGTACTTGTAGCTGCCCTCAACATCTGCTATGTTGCCTTCCGGTAGTACAATCCCCTCGGTTCCAGATTATGCTATTGGAGACCTGTTCAACGCCATTGCCAATGGGAACTATCCATCCTGGACCTTCTACATCCAGGTCATGACGTTTGAGCAGGCTGAGAAGTTCCCATTCAACCCCTTTGATCTTACCAAGGTACCTCATCCCCGCACACACAGAACAGCAAATGGGGCCCTAAAGTTGAGTCCTGCTGTCATAAAAATAGCTTCACATGCAGTCACATTATTGCTTATAGCAGGACACCTGTTAACATCACAAGTGTCTTTTGAGGGTTCACAGCATTGTTAATGGTTCGTAATGAAACTTTGATCAGATAGTATCCATAGGGCTGAGTGAGGAACACTTAAAGGCTCTTAGAGTCCTGTTGATGTCTTACAGTTCCAAGCATTCCAGGATCCATGTGTGAGGCATTGAGTCATAGGCTTTCTTGTAGTCAATCTAGGAAGTGCACAGGTTGGTTATGTCTGGTCTTGCAGTCTCAAGTGACTACTTTATAAACCAGTAGCTGGTGCTTTGCCCCTCTGGTGTTACTACAAATTCCTTTCTGGGCCCTGCTCATGTATTGAGTCATGTGCCTGCCCATCTTAGCTGCTATGATGCCTGACAGGAGCTTCTATGTTAGAGGCAGGTTATTGGGCGGTAGTTGTCCGGCCTTCAGTTAACCACTCAGAATAGGTTCCATCCATTAGTAGCTGGTTCATTGGTCCCGCCAGGCGCTCATGGAGTGAAGTTAACTTCTTTAACCAGTAGGTGTGGATCACGTCAGGGCCTGGTGCTGCCAAGCTCTTTATATGTCAGCCATTGTGATGAGGACTGGGTCTTGTTCAGGGAGGTTGCTGTGGTCTGCTCTCAGGTCCACCAGCCATTCTTCATTGTTATGTGATGCCTCCTCCTCCCATCTTACAGAATTGTTCAGTCTCCAGCCACAGTGGGCCTGGTCTCATGTTATTACCTTGCCACTGAGAGTACACCTTGGATGGCTCAGTGGAGAATATTCAGTTTGGTGTCTTCAACCGGGTGGCCAGGGCTGTGAGCCTTTGCTTCGCAGTCTCTAAGGCCTCAGGTATGGACAGTGTGTTGTACTTCTTAGGTAACCCTTTCTTCATCACACCTTTCTGCAATCCCGATAGCTGGCTAACTTCTCGCCTTGCTGCCTTGATCTTAGTCTCCAACCTCCTTCTCCATGGAGGATACTGCTCCTTATGGTCTTTGTTGAACTTATAGCCAAGCATCTTAAGGATGACGGTTGCTGTGGTGTATATGAGCTTGTTAGTTTCAGTTAGCGCTGAATTCACATCTTCTAGTACACTTTCAGAAGGCACTTCACTTAGTCTTGATAACCGGCCACAGAGGACACTGGTGTCCATCTTGCTCATGATCTTCAATCTCAGGTCAGCTGCTCTTGAATTAAACTCATCTGGGCTTGTTATTGGGGCTTGGTACCCAATCTTCGATTGTGGGGGTGATATCATCTCCCCCCCAACCTGGCATCTTGGCTCCCCTTGCTGGACTTTTCGTGTTGTACCTCGTTAATTTCTAGTTGTGTTAGGAGGTGCTTCTTGCGGATTTAACACATCGTATCTGGTGAAGAAAGCC